CAAAATCCATATATCAGCATCTATATTCTCTGCCAGTTTATTCAGGGAGTCCCACGAGTACATAGGTCTCATGAATACTTAAGACCCATAATAAAGTCTATGCTGAAAAATGTAAACTGCAAGATGAACCTACCAGGTCAAATAATTAAATATATGGCAGTGTTGATGGCCACCTGACCTTCAGAAGGAATTCTTACAGGTTAAAAACCTTCATGAAAATTTGAAATATACACCAAAGTAGAGTACTGTCATGAGCCACCATGCGACTGTGGCAAAAGATACCTTTACTAAAGGTACCTTTACTAAAGTTCAAAATGACCTATCATTTTGAAAACTGATGTGTGAGAGTATGGATAGATGCATTTTATTTTGGTCTGAATTTCTCTTTGGCAGACATTCAGATGAATCCATTGACTCTAGCTCTTCTCTTTGTTCAGAAGTAGATTGCTTTTTTTTTTTTTTTTGAGAAAACAATCCTTGCTGCTTTGACAAGCCTCCTCAAGGAGGTTAAATTTGGAGGTTTGAAGGAGTGTTACAGACCGGGTTCTTTGGAATATATCTTTTTCGTCTTCTCCTCCCTTTTTCTCTTAGTGAATAGGTAGTACTTGGGTGTGATTGACGTCAGGAAATCTTACTCCTGCCCTGCCCTGTGCATCTAGTTCCCCTGCCCCTTTCGCTAACCATGTGTATTAGGGTTGTTTTGTGTCTTTTCTCTGTCTCGCTTTCTGTATGTGCACATTTTCAGTGTTAGTTTAGAGACCAGCAAATGCAAATAAACATCCAGATCTCCCTGCTCCCTTCATACTGCCTTTCACACAGAAGGCATCATACTGCGTATATTGTTCTGTTGTTTGCTTATGGAGAGCTTCCTGGGAGTTTCCTGTTTCCCTACATGGAGAACTTCCATATTCTATTTCATAGCTACTGTCTACTGTCTGGATGTACCGTAGTTGATGTCACCAGTGCTCTGACTGTGCAGACTTTTGCTGCACAGTCAGTGCTATAGCAAATAACATGGCACACACATCATTATGTATCACATGTGTATCTGTGAGGGAAATTTCCAAAGGAAGGCTTGCCCAGATCGAAGGGAGATTGACGTTTGTAATTTGATAGATACTCCATAGCACTTGCTTAATTTTACTGTCACAGCGACTCCCCGGGATAAAGACCTGGTGACCTCCCCCCATCAAGAATATAGCCTAGAAAACCCTCTGGGGCTCTCCTCTATCAGGTGGGGTCACTGAGTTGGCAGTGACTCGAGGGCACCAACAGCAGCCAGCAATGCATGGGATGCCTGTCTCCATGGTCTCATCAGCAGAGCACATTGTCAGCCTCTGGGATTGTCGCCAGTGTGACGGACGAAACTGGGCTGGCAAGGGTGAGTTTGCGTTTCCCCGAATGAGGCTGAGCACCTTGTCACGTGTGTGAAGGCCATCTGCACTTGTGAACTGTCTCTCCGTCCCTTGTCCGTTTTTCTATTGGAGCCTTCGTCTTGATCTCAGTTTGTCCGGAGCTCTTTATATATCAGCAGGTTTCCTATGTCTGTTACACGAAGTTTTTTTCCCCAGTTTGCATTTGTCTTTTTGACTTTACCTACAGTGTGTTTGTTTGTTTGTTTGTTTGTTTTGCCATACAAAAGTGGGTGTTTTTTTTTTTTTTCATTTTTATGTTGTAGTAGTTGTTGTTATGTGTTGTCAAGTCAGACCCGACTCATAGCGACCCCTCCTTGGGTTGCCGAGGCAGTATCACTACGGAAGTAGATGGCCCAACCTTCCTTCCGAGGAGTGGCTGGTGGGTTTGAACCTCCAGCCCTCTGGTTAGCAGTCAAATGCTTTAGGCGCTACACCACCAGAGCTCCCTATTTTTATGTAGTTGAGTTTAATGATTTCCTTTTATGGCTTCCAGATTTTGCTTCACCAGTAATGGCCTTTATCACTTGACGGTTGTCAAGAAGTTTGTCTGTGTTTTCTTCCAGTGCTTCTATGGTTTGTGCCTTCCTTCCTTTCTTTCAGTATTTAGATCTATAGTCCATTTGGAGTTTGTCCTGGTGTGTGTGATATGAAGAGTGAAGAAGATCCTGGGTAGAGTGAGAAAAAGTGTGGAACAAAACTCAAAATCATTTAAAAAAAAAACAAAAAAAAAAAAAAAGGCTTATGGGTCTGATAGAGCCTGGTAAAACTCCCCAGACAGTGGCCCCTAGTCACCCTTCAGGCCTGGAATTAATTGAACACTGGCTTCTAGCCAAACAATAGACAGGCATATGGGGTGAACATTTACATCAGGTAGATAACACTCCTTGGAGCAGTCAGTCATGGGAGATGAGAAGGGCAGTATTTGCACAAGGGGGCAGGAATGCATAGGAAGGAAGGACACAGGGAAGAGGTAACTACAGGGAGGAAGTGGAAAGAGAGCTGTTACATTGTGGGCAATTGCAGTCGGTGTCATGAAACAAAATGTGTATGAACTGCTGTATGGAAAAGGAATTTCCTCTGTAAACTTTCACTCAAATCACAATTTAGAAAAAAAAAGTTATGGTGCAGTGTATAGGAACTTTTTTTTCTGGATTGATTTTAGTTGTCTTAAAATCCGTTATTGAGAAGTTCACCTTTACCCAGTTTCAGATGCTGCCTTTTTCATGCTCTGGTTTGGTCTTTCTGTTCTGTGCCATTGATCTAACCATCGATTGCACAGACTATCGTGAAGGAACGTAACGGTGCAGAAACTCAGCTTACCAGAGTAGATGAGGAAGGACAGGTTGATGATATTGATAGAGTGGAAAATCAGATTCTTGCCTACCCATGAAATATATGGGAATTCTGGTTGAATAGTGCCTAAGGCATTTGACTGCTAATCAGAAGGTTGGTGGTTCAAATCTACCAGCTGCTCTACAGAAGGAAGATGGGGGAGTCTACTTCCGTAAGGATTTTACTGCCTTGGAGACCCAGCGTGGGCCACTGTGAGTGGGAGTGGACTCGATGGCAGTGAGACTGAAATGCACACTCCACTCGGCATCGGCTTGTGCCGAGGAGAGCAGGAGGCGGCCTCAGTGGAGGGGTAGCATTAGGCGAGTGTATGAAGATGTCCAAAGAGGCGGAGGGTTAGGTAGCCCAGGTCATTGTTGGCCTTGTATGCCTTCTTTGGGAATTTGTATTTTAGCCTGTAAATAATGGGAAATTTTAAGCTGTCTAGTGAAATAGGAGCTCTGGTGGCGTAGTACCTAAGGCATTTGACTGCTAACCAGAAGGCTGGTGGTTCAAACTCATGAGCCACTCCCCGGAAGGAAGATGGGGCAATCTACTTCCATAGAGATACCGCCTCGACAACCCAAGGAGGAGTCGCTATGAGTCAGGATCGACTTGTCAGTAGTGAGTTTGGTTTTGGAATTTACAAGATTGTGTTTTAGGCTGAGGTTCTAAAGATAAGTTCCTCAGCAGTCCACACATGGCTTCAGGGCCCATGAGCCTCTGAAATTTTGTTTCAGAGAGGATGCCTGATGTACACACAAGTGCACATGCGTGCACACGCTCACACACACACATGCACGCAGTTAAGAATGCTTTCTTCAGAAAGATTTCTCTGAAGACGTGGATGGAAGAAATTGCATGGGGTATCAACCAAGATTGGACCACCGATCAGAAAGGTCTTGCCTTTGTGCTGGCAGAAGATGAGTGGTGGGGGGAGGGTGTGAGCTTTCCCGTGAGTTATTTCTGGAAGGGACCCCTCCAGTCTTTTCTTGAATATTTCCAGTGATTAGCCTACTCTGTCATGACAGACTTGTCTTTTGCTGCATAGTTTTAATAATGGTTGCATTGAGCTAAAGTCTGCCTCCTGCTACTTTTCATCACAGGTCCTAGTTTGGTTTTCTGAATTGTTCCCTCTTCAAAATACTATTTATATTCAGGTTGGCTTCATTTTTTCCCTCTAGCCTAAGAGTCCCAAGAGTCTTTGGAAACTTTTGCTTTCCTAAGTACGTTAGTGAATTGAAAGAATGCATCATTTACTTTTATTGTTACTAACACCCCCACCCCAAGTGAAGAGGCCAGCACTCCCGTGCTCACTGCCCTCAGCCCCACGGCAGCCCACACCGTGGGTCAGGACTCTCAGCTCCACGGTGTTCACCTGGGCCTTGGGGGTGGGGAGCAGGCTGGAGGCAGAGAGGACGTCCAGAGAAAGGGTCTTTCTCCCCCTCCCTTTGCCTGCCCCTTCCCTCCCTGTGCCCAGTGTCTTAGCTCTGCTTCTCCCTATGCTGCCTTAAGGGAGTGAGGAAGATCGTGCCTGGGGTTCCAGAGTCCTGCCCTCTCGGCTTAGTGAAAGCAGCTTTGTCTCCCAGCAGTGTCTGCTGATTCACTGAGGGAAAAACTCTGCTACTGTCCAGGTCCCATGTGCGGCCGTGGACCAATTACCAGGTTGGGTTTGGGAAATCCATAGCCTGCTTAAGTTGTCTGTAGCTCTTGAGGACCACAGGGATTCTCAGGAGGGCCCGGCTCCCCAAGGAAACCAGGCGCTGGGCAGCTAGGTAAGCCTGCCTGTGTACACTGAGATAGCTGTTTTCCTCCTGCTGTGTTGAGGGTCAGCAAGAAGACCCTTAAGGATCATCAGTGTGATCAAAAGATGCCTTCCTCAGCTTTGAACAATGTCAGAGCAAAACAGTTTTTCCTTTAAGTGTTGGCATCTGTTGTTGCTCAGTGGTGAGTGCATAAGAGTCTTTATATTTTCTATTCCTTTTTATATGTTTAAGATGTTTTATAATTCCGTAAAAGACTAAATAAGAAATGAATTTTGCTTGAATTCAAGTTAGTAAATAACAACAGATACTTGTTTCCTCATTTCCCACTAAGTTAGCCCTAGAAATGACCTTGATCTGGCCTGGTAGTGCACAGGAAGTTTTAAAGGTGTTATCTGTCTGAGGAAGGTACGTGGTTGAGTTTTGTCTTTAATGATGTGGAAAATTATGATTGCTTTCTGTTGGCTCACATCGTGTATTTATGGTACCGTAGGTACCTGCAAGGTGTGGCGTCACCGTCCGAGACAGTCTGAAGAAAGCTCTGATGATGAGAGGCCTGATCCCAGAGTGCTGTGCTGTGTACAGAGTCCAAGATGGGTATGGTTTGTATGTGACGTGGACTTGTATTTTAAAAAAGGAAAAAAATGCAAACATTGAACTTTGGGGCTTTCCATATGGTCTGTACCCAAATCTAGTGAATTGGTAATCAACTTCAGAGAAAAATATTAAATTAGCATAAATAAACCTTATAGGTGCTTTGAGGAGTTAACATGAATAATTTTGTGACTGTAGTCCTTATTACTCTGATCAAATGACTTTATTGGAATTTGAAATTCTTTGGATTTTTGAGCCACATGGAATGTGACTTATCTGCATAATGGACTCTTCCCCGCTCTCCTGTTTTTAATACAATCTCATAGTTTCACAAAAGGCTTTACCAAGATTAACATTTTATATGGAACTTTTTCTCTTTCAGAAAGCATCTAACATCGCCTTGAAAGTTTGAATCCCCTTTTAAAAAACAAATCCTTTTTGGGGCGTGTTGTCCCTCAAGTACTCTTTCTCTTTGAATGGCTAGATAAGTCCACACCTGTGATTTTCTCTTTTTTTTTTTTTTTCGGGACCCCAGGAACAATCCCATTTTCTGCTGTTGTAGGTCTTTTCTGGAGCTGGCTTGAAGAAAAGAGTACATCTCTTTACCCTGCTGTTTGTCCAAGAGTGATACATTTATTTGGGGTAAACTTAAAAATTAATTTATTGCCATTTCAACTTCTAACGATGGAAGACCAGGGAGCCAAACCTCCCTCACTGTTCCTAGCCCCTCAATAACCAGGTTTTGTATCTCCAGCGTGGGGCGTTTGAGGATTTTAGGTGTGCTAACCAAGAAAGGGTTGTGTCTACACTTTTCAGAGAGAAGAAACCGATTGGCTGGGACACTGATATCTCCTGGCTCACCGGAGAGGAGCTGCACGTGGAAGTGTTGGAGAACGTGCCGCTGACGACACACAACTTCGTACGGCCCTTTCATGTTTTGAAATGCCAAAATGTTCGGGTTCTCGTGAATGAATATGAAATATCAGTGAAGTATTTTGAGGCTGACATTTTACCGTAGTTGAAAATCAGTACTCTTCTTGAAAAACTTGTATTTTAACTAAGAAGTTGCATTTGAACCTTTTACTTTACTTTTAATTTTAAAAAGCAATGCACGTCATTATTAAAAATGAAAAAGAAGTTGGAGCGGTACAAACGTATATAAAGTGGGAGTCCCCTCATGGAGGTAAATGTTGGTTAACAGATGACTGTGTAGTCTTGTGAATGTTTTCTGTGTACACACACTAACGTGTGCTTGGACCCTGAAGCCCAAAGCGTTCTCCTTTTTCTTTTCTTTCCCTTCACGCATCCCTTTGGTCTCATTCTACCTTCTCCTCAAACCAGAATCAGAGCCATGCTCAGTGGTAGCCTTCCCCTGTTTCAGAGTTCTTAACTAACACTACACCACATATCGCTTTCCATATCAGTACATCTAGCTTTATTTTTGTAGTCATTTCATAGTAGTCCATAAAAATAGGAATTTGGTATATTTGACTGTCCTTCGATTAAGAAACATTGAAGTTGTTGCTGCTGTCTGACTCTACTGCACACAGGGCTGGACAGAGTCTTGATGTCGACATGTTGGCACACTGCCAGTGTTTCTGAGGCTAGACTGCTGGGCGTGCACTAGCTGAGTACGCAGCTTTTTCTCTGGGTTTTGTATTTGCCAGAACTCTAGTATAAGCTGAGTGTCACCAGCAGGAGGCCTGGCCCAGGGGTCTTTCCACTTAGAGGGACAGAGACAGTCTCTGAGCTCAAGAACCTGCTCTGGACACCAGAAGCACAGTGCTCGTGAGGCAGGAGTGTGCGTCTGACTTTTCTGTATATAGATAGGCCATTTTGACCAGAGTTTATGTTTCTTCTAGAGGGATGGTTCGTGCTCCCCTTCAAGCTTCAGCTGTTTTCCCACGTGCCTTATTGGTTAGTCCTGCTGGGCTCTTAAAGCCAAAGATTGGGAAGCAAGTTGCTTTTGTTAGGAGCGTCTGTGCTCTAGGGACTCCCTTAGTAATAACTAATGAGATCGGCTCTGTGCACCAGTCAGTAGGGCACGTTTGGATGAGTATAAGACACACTTCATGTCCACCTCATTGACTCTGCAGGCCATGGTGTTACAGTGATGAGGTAGAAAATGCCTTAGTGTCATCTTCAAACCACAAACTGGTGGAATTTTGAGTAGATGAATCTTCTAAGATTTTATTTAGGTTTTTAAGAACCTTAAAACAGTTGAGCCTCCATTCCATGGTGGTGAACACTCCTTTTCTTAATGATGATTCTTAGCTGGAATTTGGGTGTGAGGAGGTGGAGGAAGATCTAAGTTGTGAAGGATGAGAAAATAATGTTGATCCCAGGAAGGTCTTCTCCAAAGAGGAGTGTTGTGGTTCCCTAGTGCTGCTCTGACAAGAATATATACCACAAATGGGATGGTTTTAACAAACAGGAGTTTATTCTTAACAATTTGGAGGCTTTAAGTCCAAGTTCAAAGTGCCAGGCTCTAGGGGCTGGGTGAAGGCCCCTCACTCAACCTTGGGGTCCAGCTCTGCCTCCTGCTCCCAGCCTACTGGAGCTAGAGGCATTTCTTCACTCAGACAGCTGTTGGCTGCTGAGGCAGAGAAGCCCCAAGGTTGACAAATCAAAAGGCACAATACTGATGTTACCAAATCACATGGCAGGCCATTAACTTAAGTCCACTGTAAGTCCCAAGGTCAGCAGAGCATAGCAGGCTGCTGAGCAATGACACGGCTACATGCAGGATCCAAGCATGCCATAGGCTAGAGACCGTTCTCAAAGCTTCTCCTTATATATAGGAAACAGACCACATCCCAAAGGCAACTACTCAGCTGCCTGTGGTAGATCCCGCCATGGAATTGATTGCCAGTCTCATCATGGGGAATAACTACCACCAGCTGCCCAGCCACTCACCCAGACCTAGCAAAGTTGACACACAAACATAACCACCACAAGGAGAGTGAACACTAACTTCCAGTGAGTTCCAGAGTGTGGAAGCCCACCCAGCCCAGTCCGGGAGCTGCCAGGATGTTTGCATTGAGTGCGTTTTATTGCCCACACTCTGTCTGACCTGGGGCTGTCACAGCGAGTTAGGACAGCAGGAGCCCTGCTCTAGAGTAGAGACGTGATCAGTTCAGCAGAAATTTCTGTGAGCACTGTTGATAGCGTGTATGTATGAGATGCTGTAGGTGTGTGCAGCACACGCTCCTGCCCTGGGCTTTCAGGAGTCAGGAGGGTTCCCGATGGAGGAAGCGTCTAAGCTACAGCCCGACAGCGGAGTAGTGAATGGCAGGTAAAGAGAAAAGGAACGTGTCCTCCAGGCAGAGGGAGCAGCAGCAAAGCGTGTGCCTGTGAAGTTGTGAGAGAAGTTGGGAATGGCTGGCACAGGGTTGGGGAAGGGGCTTGGCCATGTAGCAAGAACTGGGGGTCAGGATGTAGGCAGAGTCCAGCTCAAAATGCCCTTGTAAGTCATGTTAAACACTTGGATTTTCCCCAAAACGTATCATTTTAAAACATAAGTCAGTGACAGGAAAAAAAGACCACAGTGGAGTAGATGAGTCGAGGAAGAGAAATCGAGGGCTTGATGGAACTGAACCACTGATGGATGACATGAGTGGTAACTGAGAGGAGCTGATGCCTGCAACGCAGACCCTGTGAAAGCATCTCGTGTTTTGCTGTGCACTAGCTACTCCCCGAGACTCTGCTAGTGTTCATGATGCTAGCATTTTAACATATAACTCGGTTTGGTAAATAGTGGCTGCTATTAAGAAAAAAATTAAAGAAATTGTTTGATTCCTTGTATACAGAGAGACAAATGGAAAAGGAGCCAAACTAGAAAAGGCAGTTGCCCTGACATGGGGTTGAGGGATGTGATACATAGAAAAAAGGGTGAAGAAGACAAGAGGCATTTTAAAACTATTGACATTTTTCTTAAAAAGCCAGAATAGATTTTGACCAGGGTATCATTTTCTTGATGGGGCACTATTTTAAGATAACTTTGTATTCCATATTTATTAAAAATGGAGTTTGATAAACTGTTGTTGTTGTTAGGTGCCGTTGAGTCGTCTCCAACTCATAGTGACCCTGTGCACAACAGAACAAAACACTGCCCAGTCCTGTGCCAGCCTCACAATCCCTGCTATACCCGAGCCCATCAATGCAGCCACTGTGTCAATCCATCTCATTGAGGGCCTTCCCCTTCTTCATTGACCCTCCACTTTACCAAGCATGATATCCTTCTCCAGGGAATGGTTCCTTCTGACAACATGACCA